ACATCATCTTTCACTTCTATGTGATATAGAAAATACAAACATCAGAAAACTGGACACGCTATAATCGTACAATCCTAATAATGCATCGAATTATCTTCGTCTCATAAGTTATAACATGGGCTCGTATACTTCTAATGGCATTACTTTATTCCAATGGTTACAGAAATGATGAGGTGATGGATGAGGAAGGGATTCCAGAGGGAGGTCGTCTTAGGATTTTCTTTAGCCTGGCTCTCTGTCATTTTATGTTACATTGAAATAATATCCCATATCATTATTCATTATCGGTATCAAAGAACTTAACGGTGTCAGTTTCACGGATGATGCACAACCTCTTACTCGGTTTCGAAATCATATTCTACGAAGATTTAAATTAGGTAACATAATATTTAATTCCTTACGAAAGGATTTGTCCTGAATGTTCCCTGTCACACAGACCAGTATTCATCAAAATTAAGAAGCTTATCATCTATCACTCGGCCGTACTTAGTTACGATCAAACGAAAATAAAAATCAATAATTTTCTTTGGTTATACGCGCGCGCGCGCGAGTGCATGTCTGTGATGAATAAAAAAGCAGTAGCAACATTACCCATAGTGCCAATAATGATACCTCATATGAAACTAAGAATAAAAAATAATTTTACAATGCAGTCCCACCTGTACCATCTCCATCTAATAGAATTTACCTAAAAGGGTAAAACTCACGTATGTAATGCCTCCCTCTTCTCCCTCTTTCTCCACTGCTCTCCCTCTTTCTCTTAATCTCCCGTCCCTCTCTATCTCCCTCTTCCTCTCCCTCTCCCTCTTCCTCTCCTCTTCTCTGCTCTCTCTCTCTCTCTCTCTCTATCTCTGTTCCGTTTCTCTCTATCTTCCTCTTCCTCTCTCTATATCTCCCTCTTCCTGTTTCTCTCAATATCCCTCTTCCTGTTTTTTTCTCAATCTCTCTCTTCCTGTTTTTCCCCATCTCCCTCTTCCACTCCCTCCATCTTTCTTTTCCTCTCTCTCCATCTTTCTTTTCCTCTCTCTCTCTCCCTCTCCCTTTCTCGCTCTCTCTGCACCGCTCGAATGCCTGCCAAACGCCGCAAATCACCGCGACAAATAATCGACCGAGGCTGGAAAGTTCCATGACAGAGGAGAATAATGATTGCGTCACCGCTTCCTCCCATTCGTGAAGACAAGAATCAAACAAGTATATAAAGCCAAGTCGAACGATCCAAGTATATTCGAACTCGAGCAACCAACAACAGCACTACACAACTTCTTCGCAACGAGATGATCTACCAAGTGGGTTTTACAATGAGATAATCATGTTATCAGGAACTAGCGAAAACATTAAACGTTAAACTCGTGTGTCTGACTGTTATTCAGCAGTGAAAAGGCGGAAGTTTGAGGTGTTTTTGAGGAGTTCAAAGCCATTTACAGGAATTAAATTGCAAACATGAAAATACAAAATATATAATATTAATCGGAAAGGCGTATCTGACAGAAAAAAAGTATTTCACATAAATTAATATGTATTCCTTTTTACATTTCAGATAATTATCACCCTCGTTATACTAGCTGCTACACAAGGCTACCCCTCTAACTATGGTAGTGCATCAGTAAGTGTTAAATACCAGTGATACAGACTGCAAAAGCCACTAATGTTTAACCACCATTCTCCGCTAATTTCCTTCCCTTCTCCCTAGGGCCCTATACCTTATGGCTTCAACTACGCTGTGAACGATGACTACAAAGGAACTAATTTTGGCCAGAGCGAGAAGTCCGACGGGAACAGCGTCTGGGGATCCTACACCGTCGCCCTCCCCGACGGCCGCAAACAACATGCAAGTCCTATTCCTCATCTGAAACACGGCAATAGTCTCGTGATCTGCTTATGCAATATATCCTAAAAATCATCACTTAATATAGAAACTTGCTACTCATTACTGAAACACTTCTTGCAAACACAGGTTGACTATACGGCTGACCACAACAATGGTTTTGTGGCGAAGGTAAGCTATTCCGGCAAAGCTCAACACGCAAAGGTCTCCGGTCCAGCAGTAACTTTTCCGCAGAATGGAGGTGGATATCACTGAAGACAGAATTTTATAAATCTGTATATCCCTATTAAAATATACATAAAAAACATGAAACTAAATATCTGATTTTTCACCTTCATAATTAATGAAAGAAATTAAGAAATTAAAACTTTTAATGAGAAAAAGGATTATGTATGATACAATTACTAAAGACAAAATAAATAAACAAACAGTAATTATGTATAAATGTGCCCACAGTGCACTACTTCAGTGTGTACCAATCTAAAGGATAAAATATAGATCTAAATCAAACTTCATATATGATCCGAACCTAAATATTGACATATGCTCGTCAATCTTCTATGTAAACATAAAATTACCTGATTGCGAACCGTAATTACAGTTATATCTTGCGTTTCTCAAGAGTCACAGAATCAATGCCGAATCAATTCATTTTATAGGAAGCAATACCCAAGAACAATATTCGTAAATTTGTGGAAACATAACGGGAATTTTTGAAATACTGTGGCAAAATGTTGGTAATATGATCGTATATTTACTGGCTAATGGCCACTTCCGTATCATATTGAAAACGGTGATTTAAAACCGATTAACCGTGCATGCGCGCGTGTGTGTATGTATGTGTGTGTGTGTGTGTGAATATGCTTCGCTTCTCTTTCAATAATCAACTTGGTCATGAGTTCCCAAGATGATCCATAAAATCCGCCGACTCGACAGGGAACCTCTATTGCCGAGTTTAACAACTGTTTAAGTCTCCTAATTCCATCTTAAATCTGCTTAAAGTTCTATAGCTTCAGGCCGGAATGGCGATCGTTTCAAAACAGACATGAATAATGAGGACGGAATACCCATCTGAATCATAACTGAAGCAATCAAAAGCTAACAAGACCATCGAAATGGAAAGACGCCCACTAACTTTGCCTTTAATTCACATCAGCTCTTGTTCTCAATCTTTATAAGAAATTTTACTTTCCATTTTCTGCGATTCCAGCGGTAGTTAGGTACAAGTTCATCCGTAAAGCAATTGATTAATGTAGTACCACTAAAAGTTTCTAGTACCACTAAAAGTTGAAACATAGCAAGACATATTACCCAAAGTATACTTCGGATTTTTCATTTCATCTTGTACAGTGACAAGTACAATGTGAACAACTAGCGAGAACCTAGAAATATCTTTTAATAACAGCATCTTCTTTGCACAAATATTACATGATCTTCCCTTATGAACGCTCTTAGTATCAAAGAATGTACCTACAGTGTCTATATAATAATTAGCATTCTTGTCTAATTGTCTAAATAGAACCACACAGAGCTGGCCATAAGAGCGGTTCCTAGATAAAAGTCTATTACCAAAACGGAAGACCTTAATGGAATGGGAATCTTTTGTTTGTGTTTACATTATTCCTCCGACTGAGAGCGGTGCTTACAATGTTCTTTGTTTTATATAACACTCCCATAGGTAATTCATCATGCTTGGAATTACGAAGATACATAATTGCTACAAGTATTCGTATATAAAGTCAAATAAGAAAATATATAAACATCTGTTTTAGTTATATATTCAAATCGCAATTTTTATCTATAATGTATAATAATGTTTTTTGGCGAGTGAGAACCGTACATAAGGAGCCTGTCTCTGGTATCGCATCCCGCCCTCTCTCACTGAATGAATTAAGGAAAAAGAATGCAGATGTAAATACCTAATCATCACATTTCCTGAATACGAATGTTCTACGCTTTCAGATTTTGTAACATATATCGGGGATAGATTTATCATAAAGCATAGAAACTTATATGTGATAACGAATTTCAGAATTCTTGACATTTCCCTCTAAAAAGGTATAAAGCACACGGAAGTAAATTAATGCAGTAGTGCCATAGCAATTTAGGTTTATGTAAATAAGCAACGACCACTTTGTTTCAAACTCATGTTGAGGCAAAAAGTATTAACCTTATCATTTATACAAACCATATAATGACTAAATTATACAGACCCAGGAAAAGGGAAAATATAGTATATATATATAACTTAAAAGGTTTGATATTATCTGCATAAAAGTGGAAACGATATCAAGATAACGTAAAGCTTCATGTTTCTCTGAACACTCCAACAATTATCAGACAGTACGAAAAATAAGAACAATAACTCCATGCTAAACGGATGCAACTTCAATGTAGCTAATTCTGATAACAAGCATAAATCTAAAAACAATAGATTTTATTTTACTCTCTTACAAACAAGTCGTTATAAAAATACTAGTAACCAATATCGGCGATCGACCTGGCAATTATCGCTCTCGTGATACTCCCAGCCAGCAGTGTCGCTACGTGCGGTTCGGACCCAGTAATGAATTATCAAAAAAAAGAAAGAAAAAAATCCCCCAACAAATATTGGTGTCAGTCAATTGAAAAACTGTGGGTCCCTAAGGCTGGCAAGTTTCATAACCGCGAAACAACGGGTCTATTGTCATCCTATTAACGCATTACGCGTGACAGTCAACAGTATATAATGATCACATGAATTTTACTGAGCCATTAGTCCTTCAGCTATCGCCAGCACTACAGTAACCTCA